TAGGTGGTCTGCCCACCAAACTGCCTGCAGCTGGGATCGAACCCGGCATAACAAAGATGTTACAAAAGAAGAAACAAACTCTGAGTAAGTGAAACCAGATTACAACATATAATGCATGACACACGGCAGACAACAATGTAATATTAAGTATAAAAATAAACAGAGGCAAGAGATTGCTGACACTTTTTGTTTTTAGGGTGTCATCTTCACAAGAAAGGTTGGCTGCCATGCACACACTTCTGTCTTTGGCAATATTATTACGTGTTGAGGTCTTAATCTTTTCCATGGTGCCTTTTTTGACCGGGGGTCTCTGTGGCGAAGTGGTCAAGCCATCTGCCTAGCACTCTGAAGGTTGTGGGTTTATTTCATAGCCGCGCCCTTGCCCTTTAGTTAACGATTGCAATTTTTATTAACCTCTCTGGGAATAGCTACGCAGTTAGAGCTCTGTGCGGCACTTCTAACAGGCAGCTTGCCGTTATCAGAGAGAGACCGAGCCAGAAAAGATAAAATGAGTCAATTCTCTTGACTTTAATTTCAAATGTCAACCACTACCTGAAAGTCCAAGAACGGTCTTTTTCTAAACTGTCCATTGTGGGAAACCAACCTTGCAATGCTGAGAATTTAACTGAAATTTTTTCTCAAACCTCTAGGCCACGGACAGCAACCCACCAAGTATTTACCGGAGTTGCCTAGCAAGCTGTTGTTCTGAGCGACTTGAATCGCATCCAGCTGTAGCTTCAATCCATTCTATCCCAACTGTTACTTATATCCATTTTGTCCTTAAGTGTTTTTATTTTACCCCCTTCAGGCCTAAACACATTACTCCTTTCCTGAGCAGTTTGCTTAAAAGTAGTCAAAGAAACACGTGCATGGGACTGAAAGAGTTGACCAGGCATACAGTGAGCTTGATGTGTTGTAAGTTAATGGGTCATTAGTTGCCCCTCAGATGTGTCTTCTGATTGCAAGTAGTACAGTGACTTGTGTGTCCAGCTGACAGTAACTTAGCTACTGGTAGATCTCCCATGACATCATCATGAATCCACGTTAGGCTGGGTCAACCTGGGAGCAAAGCTGAATTATGACAAATCAGCCTTGATGCGGGTTTCATTCCCAGACCTTTAGGCTAGCAGATTATATTATCATCATGATTAAATTCTTTGCCAACTGGCGCATGCGATTATGCCTCTCCACAATCTTTGTGTGATCTTAAACAGCATTTATCAGTTCATGTGCTGACATCTCTCCACATCATGACAAAAGGCTGTTAAAAAACCTTCTCACATGTTCCAGTTTCCTTCTTCTCATAACATGACCAAAGAATTATGACTGTCTCTTTCTGGTGTTTGTGAGAAGTTGTCTTGAGCCATTTCCTTTTCCAAAATATCTGGGTAGCTCTACTGGCTGTCCAAAGAATTCTAAGAACCTCTGTTGTGAAACCACATTTCTGAGGCCTCAATAAAGTGTTTGGCTTATTTATTAACTGTCCAGGATTCACAGCCACATGTTACAACTGGCTCTATGTAGTTTGCAAAAATTAGATTACAATTTAATAGGAATAAAATATACAGTAAGCCTATAAAACTTACCCGAAACAAAATTATGAGTGTGGGATTTACAGATTCTAGTTTAGCTTTCAAACGACCAAATACAGTTGCATAACCATCCTCAACAGCATGGTGTACAACAAGAATCCACTACTGGTTATTAAACACAAGCAAATACAAGGTATACATATGAATTTTAAATGCTCTGGTAATAAATAAACCCAGAAAAAATTTGAAAATGCTCATTTGTAGAATGGGAAATAATCAAACTGTTTGTAAGAGTTTGCATGCAGTGTAGCTGTAGGGTTCTCATTTATAACCATTTGATCAGGTTCAACAGGGAATCCAGGATCTGTTTCTGTAGGACTGACATCCAGGCTGCTGGATCAAATTTTTAGGTAGATGTCCAAGAAAGGGAAAAACAGAGGTATATGATTACATTGTGCTCCTCCTGTGTAAGCAATATAGTGAACATGAACTGTTTCAGTACTAAACCACTAACTATATGTATCTGTTTCATACTAAATAAAACGTGACCGCCTTGCTGTTTTCTTTAACAGACAGATGATGTATTACCCCTTTGCATCTGAGTTATTAGTTTCACCACTTCTGTCCATAGTGCCTCTGTTAAAATCCATAAGACCAAAACAGTTATTGCCTTTATTCTCACCTCTTTGGGGTGGAAGGGGTTAAAACAACAAGTGCGTGGGACTGAAACAGTTAAAGCAAAATATGTGTACAACTGAGTAGAATTTCTTATTCTAAAACAGTAGTTCTCAACCTACCGGGGGTCAAATGATCTTTCCACAGGGGTCGCCTAAGACCATAGAGAAACACATATTCACTGAAGTTATGAAGAAGTTACAAAAATAATTTTAAGGTTGGGGGGGGGGGGGGGGGGGGGAGGGAATCAGCACAACAGGAGAAACTGTATTAAAGGGTCGCGGCATTAGGATGGTTGAGAGCAACTGTCCTAAAAGGTACCATGTAATTAGCAATCTTCTGCCAGTGCATTTATTTGTGACTAGTCTATACAAGGTGTAGATACTGCAAAGCATAGCACGCTGCAGTATGCAAAATAAATGCTATATTTTTCAAAGCTTACCAAAGATCAAACATGTACTGATGGCACAATAAGTGTATGTTACTGGTGGGTAGCTTCTCATAGAACACAAGATAACAATTACTATTTTGTAGATAAAGCATTTAACCAATAAAATATATATTCAAAATAAAGTTTAAGGTCACCACTGCAAAATTAATGGATAACACATTTTAAAAAAAAAAGGATGGATAAATATAAAGAAACAAATGTATACGTAAAAAAAAAGCCTATACAAATTAGGTTTGGATGCCAAATGTTTACAAAGATATGAATGCTAGTACAAAATTAAAAATATTTATATATTTAAGAATTTAGATAGTTATGTAGACCAAGTTCTACAGCAATTTATAGATCGGATCAAGTTTTACAGCTAATTTATATATTGATCATGTTTTAATTAAAGATAAATCATAGAACAATCAAGTTCGACAAATAATTTAATAGATCAATGATGTTCTAAAGATACTTCACAGATCAATAAAGCTCTATAGATAATTTATAGATCAATAAAATTCTATAAATGACTCAACAGATTAGTAAAATTCTAAAGATACTTTACAGATCAATTAAGCACTATGGATAATTTACAGATAAATCAAGTTCCACATGTAATTCAATAAATCAATGAAGTTCTAAAGATACTTCACAGATCAGTAAAGCTTTAACGATAATTTATACATCAATCAGTTCGACAGATAATTCATAGATCAGTAAAGCTCATTAAGATGCTTCATTTGATATAATACTGGCCATTTATTTGCTTTGGTTCTAATTTTGTTTCAGAATCTCTGACTGTACGTAAGTTTTTAAATGTCTCTTCTTTCCTTTATCCCTGCATGCTGCACAGGCCTTCAACTAACTCATGCCATTTTTTTCTTTTCTTTGTCACCCCATGCAGTTCATTCCATGTCTTCCACACCCTATTCAACTCAAGACTTTAATTCTCTCTGTGTTTTAGTTCTCCCTCAATTTTATGCAAAGTCCTGTGCATCCCAGTGAGGGAGAATTTAGCTATACTTTTAGACTTCTTGAGGACCCCCTTGCACGCCATCAGGCATAGAGGGCTAGACCTATATATATAATCATAACTGTGTGTGTGATGCATTCAGCATCACGACGACCGCCTTTACTTCCCAGGACTTGGGCTTGGTACACATTTAAGGCTGGAACTACTTGACACCAAGGCCATCTTTGTAGAAAAAAATCCAGCACTGTTCAGATTTGAACCCATGTTCTTCAGATCTGCAGGCTAGCGTCTAGCCCCTAAAGCAGGGTGGCTCCCTGTATCCAAAGCCAGTGTCTTTTACTTATTCTTGATCCGCAGGTGTTTAAGTTCCATCCAAAAGCTTTACTTACTGTTCCTGGCATAACTGTATGTGTTTTGAGGTCTTTTTGTTTGGTGTGTCACACTGTGGGTTTCAGCACAGTGATTTTTCAGCTGTAATCCTACTACTTGTTTCTGTGCTCAAGCTGAATAGAATTCTTGGCATGTTATATTGTGGTTTACAGCAAGGCTGCAATATCTGTGTCTTTCAGCCTGACACATCTGATTTAAACAAACCCCTAATTAGCCAGACTTTTACAGGGGGTGAGTCTACTTATTCGACTCACTAAAACCAGGGACCCGTAACCCCATGTTGTATCTATACTATTACAGGGCATTGTCAGTGCTTGTCTACACTCTTGGATCATGTGTTCAAAAGGTGTTTAAAGCTATGAGAATACACGTCATTGTATGTTTAAAGCACTTGGCTTTATCCCATATGGCTAAGTCTTTCTATATCAGGGGTGGGCAACCTTTTATTTTTGTCTGCGAGTCAAATTGAAAACTACCTATCACAGACCACAAAGAAAAAAAATCTATTATAAACATAATACCTAGATATCCCAATAAATGACATTTCTGGAGGATAATCTAAGATTATAATCCCTTGCTAAGCCTCTGGCCAGCTACAGGCCAATTTAGGCCCATCAACCTCAGATCCACCCCCCCCCCCCCCCCCTCCCCTGCTCTACACATCTATTATTGCAAACCGAAGGACTGAATTTGAAATCAAACTCTCAACCTTCAGAGAGCAAGGCAAACAACTTGACAACCTCACCACAAAGATCCCCAGGATCAGGGGATAACATAACAATGTCTCAAGGAAATAAAGCCAGTCTGAAGAATTTCTACATTGATCAAGCTGAGATAACCTATACAACATCAGTGAACTGCAGTGAATTTATGTGTCCAGATTTCCAAATAATAAACATAATCATGCTGGCAAGCACAGGAGGATATAGAAAAGAACAGGAATTAGAAAAATTATGAAAACTCTATGTGCCCAGCCTCATTTTAGGTGTCTTGTTTATGTTCTGGCCATACGATTGACTTTGTCATAGATCTCCGGAAATGCTTTATCACAATCCAGCTGCAGTCTCATCTTGTCGTAGAGTGTGTGATCAAACATGGCCCGGAACTGTTCACGGGTCAGGTACGAGTCTGCATACAGCATCTGAAACCTGTGGAGAACACAATAAAGCCCTATTAGTTGCTTAGCCAAATGATAAAATAGTATATGTGACCACACACACACACACACACACACACACAAAAAGAAGATTAAAGTTTAAAGTCTTCACTGCACCCGAAAACAATATAGCTAGAATGTCTCTGCAGTGTAACCCAAAGGGGCAAAGAAATAAAGGCAGACCAGAAAAAACTTGGAGGAGGGAGTGAGAGAATTAAGTTAAATAGCGGAACAGGGGTTGAAATGCATGCAACAGCAAAGGATAGGATGACTTGGGGTGAGCTGACTGAGGGCCTATGGTCCACTGGGGAATAAAAGGCAGAAAAGGAAGAAAAAGATGAAGAAGAAGAAGCACCTCTCAATGGTGGGTGTGGTCAAGATCATACTGGCCACCTTTACTTCCCATGACATCTTCAGGTACGCATTTTAGGCTGGGTCAACCTGGAATTATACAAATCTGTCACTATGAGGATTTGAACATAAATTCTTCAAGCTGGCAAGCAGGTATCTAGCCATTCCATGACCACAGTTCCCCAATTTTGCTAGCTGAACAAATAAAAGCTAGAAAAGCAATTTAATAGAAATGGCTGAAGTCTGCCTAACACCCCACCAGTGGAGTTGGAGCACTTGATTGACAAGGTATATATTTTGTGTGCTGTTCTGAACACAAAACTGAGGCCTGCATTTTTTGCAAACAACATATTTCACAATTTAGTGCCTGCCATATTTCACTGCGGGAGCCGTTGTGGTGTAGCGGCTAGACACAGATCTGAAGGTTGTCGGTTTGGATCTGCATGGAGCCAGATTTTTTTCCCCACCGTGCTGTAACTTAAACTGGTACCAGGTAAAGTCCTGGAAAGTAAGGGCACATGCAGAAGTGAACTAGAGAGTCAAGTTCAAACAGAAATTGCAACCAAAAAAAAGAAGAATGTTCTGGGAAGTAAAAGTGGTCAGTGTGATGTTAACCTTATACCCCATCCAGGGTCCATTGTCTATACAGAATATGAGTCTAGTCTCATATGCCTGATCTGCCATTGCTGGTAAAGGGACTTTTTCTCTTTTTTAAACTGTTTGTTTTGCTGTATCTCATCAGGTGTATACTATAGAAATTATACCAACATAAGATCAAAGACACACTCAAATTTAACCCTGTCAAATGAAATGTAATTTTTTTTTCCAATTCCACTGTTTCCCTCTAGGTTTTACCACAGCAGTCTAAACCTTTTCATCCTTTTTTTTTAAAGTAAAGGTCCCTTTTCCACGCCTTTAGGCGTATAGGGCTAGTCCTATATTTTTATTGATCAATCGGCATTAGATGGGTGATGTGGACAGCATCACGCCTTTACTTCCCAGGACTGCACCTGGTACCTACTCAAGAATAGGTCGACCTGGGAGTCAAGGTCATTTCTGAAAAAAGTCCAGCTCCGCCGGGGAGCGTTTCCTCCCAGAAAATCAAAATTAAAAACCCCAGGGAAAAAAAATAACTATCCAGAAATTGTGTGATAGGTGCTAGTCTGAAGATATTCTAATTAATCTAAACACCATTATAAACAAAAACCTGGATCTTTAATTCTCAAAGTCTCAATTTTATTACAATCTAAAGACGAAACATTCAAACCACTCACCCTTTGACTTTCGCTACAAAATCTTCTAGTTTTCTTGTTGAAGGTACAGTAGAGAATCCTCTGAACTTTGGAGTTCCATAAGCCCCAATGTCCACATACATCTCGTCTTGATTTCCGGCCGGGTGAACCAACCCTGGCTGGCTGAACAGCTTGAATGGGCAGATCCAAAGAGGATATAGCTAAAGGATTCAATCAGAAGGATCAGATTTGAGGTGTCTTACAAATATTAAGCTACAATATTTACAACAAGCAAGCATCCAGCCATAGCAGTGCAAACATAACATTTTGGCCGCAGACTGGTTACCTTCATCCATTCTAGGTTTATCCATAGCCTTCTATCTTGTGTAGCTTCAATTACTTTCAACACATATGAAACTCTATGCTATGATGTCAAACTTATCAACATTTTCTTTCTTGGTCTCCCTCTGCCTCTACCACCCCTTGACCTTTTTAACTATCACAAAGTAGTCCAGTTATCTCTTTTTTATGATGTGACCAAAGAATGTAGTATGGGTGATCATGTCTCTATGATTTTCACAAGCATATATTAGTTTGTGTGTTGACATCACTTCCTGCCATCGCAAAAGGCTGCTAAAATTGTCCCGTGTTGTTTTCCTCTATCTCTTTTCCACAGTTCTTTCCAGTGGTCACAGCATGTTTCAGTTTTCTTCTTCTCATATCAACATCATCAGTTCTCTTTATGCCTAGTGGCACATGAGACTCCAGAGAGGACTGTCCATGCTTTCCTGTCCTGTGCAATCTTCAATGCAGTTTTCCATGTCAAAGATGCCACACTCAGGTCACTTTCCATCGTTCGTCTCCATGTTGTTTTTGGGCGCCCCTTTTTTCTCTTTCCCTCTGGTATCCTTTGTGAGAGCTGTTTTGGCAGGTATATCAGGATACATTCTTGTAATGTGGCCAAGCCATTTTCATCTTCTCTTGGTTATCATACTGTCTAGAGTTTCTTGGTTTGTGACTTGAAGTAGTTTCTTCTCATATAACATAGTAAAAAAATGACAACTGTCTCTTTCTGACTTTTGTGATAAGTTGTCTTCGAGCCCTCACGTCTTTCAAAATATCTGGGCTGCTCTTTTTGGCTGTCCAAGGAATTTTTCTGTAAAACCAAATCACTGAGGCTTCAAGAAATTGTCTGGTTTATACAGCTCTTAGCTGATTGGCTCACAGGTAAAGCTACTGTGTAGGGCTGACAAGCAATGGACCATGCAGACATTCTGAATGCTCTATGAGAAGACCTTTGTGAGAAGCAAGTGATGACGATGAATCTGCAACCATAACCAGACTACAAGAACAACATGTCAAAAGGAGTGTGGCCAGACAAGAACATTATGTAGGAAGCCAAAGAATTAGAAACTAACACAGAACTGGTGTTGTGAGCCGACACACGCTGCAGGATTTACTAAGGAGGGGATCCAAGCACTTATGGACTGAATGGTAAGACGTGCAATAAGTCATTATGAGAATAATCTGTTGACTAACTAACATACAGCTCTTAAAAGCTCTTTTTCTTACCTCAGCTGACAATCTGCACAATGGTTATCAAGAATGTATTAAATATATGTTTTTCCCTTCCATTCTGGGATGCTACATAGGTTTGAGGATTGAACAACATCATGGCACACAGGTAGTAACCCATAAGTGCTCAGTTCTTCTAACTCAAGTCTGAGTCCGAAGAAGCTCAGCACAATGCACAGGCTCTGCAGCACTGGCGAGGATCCTGAAATACTTTGGGTAGATTTTTTACCCCAAATTTTGCATGGGCAGCGCCGTTAGGCTGCGCTTTTCAATTTCCAACTGCCAACAATGCACACAGGCATCCAATCTCACTACCCAGAGACCAGGGGAAATTACTAGAAGTCTAAGTCCACATGAAAAAAATTCCAGCTCTTACCGGGGATTGAACCCAGAACCTCTAGCACTCGAGGCAGACACCATGCCTCGAGACCATGCAGCCTCCCTGGATGCTACATAAAGGTTTGACTTTCCTGAGATTTAAAAAAAAAAAAGCGCTAAAACCGGTCCCAAGACCGGCTGAACCTGAGTGCTTCATGGGTCATTGAAAGTAATGGTTAACCGTGAATCAGCCAGATGGCCTGCATGGAGGCAGCCCCTCCATCATACAAAGGCACAACAGGCCAATTATATGTTACCAAAGGGCAACCCAGCGTCCCACAGTCCCTGACTGCTAGAGGAATGGAATGGCACAAAGCCAGAAAGAAAACTGCTTACAGAGAATTCTGGTGATCTCTCTGGCAAACCTCTGGCAGTGAAGACAATGAGAAAAATACAGGTGCAATAGATCCACCTAAAAACCCTAGGAAACAAGTATGTTGCAAGAGTATTTTGTGTGTGACTGCTAGACTACATGTAACTTACACAAATACATAACACTGTGACTGGTGCAAATTTGTACTATTTAGTCATGTGGTTTTCACACTCCTCCTGGACCCCCCCCCCCCCCACTCCCCCCCCACCCACAGGAAGTTTTTAAACAAAAGGGGAGGGGGTGGGGAAGAAGGGCATCAAATTGTGAAAGTTAGTGCATTGTAAAAATCTGTTATACCAGCAACATTTACTAAAAGCATGTCTTTCTGTTTATAAATAAAATATTTTTAAAGCTATTTAGAAAACAAAAAGCCAAGGATGTTTTTTCATGAGCAATTTGTGCAACAGATTTTCTTCTTCGTCTTCTGCCTTTCTAGCCCCCAGTGGAGCATAGACCCTGAACCAACTCACGCCAAGTCGTTCTATCTCTTGCTATTGCATGCAGCCCTACCCATTTTTCTAACTTCATTCTCCAGCTCCCTTCTCCATATGTTTATTTGACTTCTTTTATTCTGATGCCCCTGATGGTTCCAGTGCAAAGACATTCTAGTTATATTGTTCTCCGGTTTTCTCAATGTGTGTCCTATCCAACGCCAGCATCTTTTCTTCATCTCTTGGTTCACTAGAGCTTGCTTAGTTCTCTCCCAAGCTCTACATTAGTGATTCTATCATACCATTTAATTCCCTCTATTCTGCGCAGGCCGCAACAGATATTAGCAAGACAAAACAGTGTGAACTATTACTGAATTACCAGTAATTTGGTGACTGTTTCTTTTATGTTTGTTTATAATAAAAATCAGCCTTAACATTTAATGGCCAGACTGAATCAAAACAATTGATTCTTGGACATGCAGCCCTGTCAATACTCCACTCATCACTGTGTGTCAATAACAATAGACAAATTAATCTGACAGGGAATCAGCTCAAGCGTTGAGCATTTAGTCGTTATTATTAAATTGTTCAGGAATGCATTTTCCAAACTTAAAACACCTGGCAAGTCTGATCAACAAACAACATAATGAAAGAATCGATCTCGATGGAAATTACTTTCATAACGTTCTATTTTTGTAAATTTTCGTTTCAGTAGAGGATTATGCACACAAAAGGAGATAGTCCTGATCCTGCATTTGCCCTGGTCAAACAGGCAAGTTACTTTTGAAAGTAGTTGATTTTTGTTTCAGTTAGGATTCATTTACGTGCTTTATATTAATCAATTGTTACTGGGGCCGGCACCTGCCGAGATGCAGTGAAATTTGTCAAAGCAATAAATTGTGTTTGTGTCTTCTCTGTTCATGTGACCCCCCCCCCACCCCCCCCCCCCCCCCCCCCCCCCCCCCCCCCCCCCCCCCCCCCCCCCCCCCCCCCCCCCCCCCCCCCCCACAAGCATGTATTTCCTTCAAAGTCATTGAGTTTATCTGCCTGAAAGGAGAGTAACCAACAGTCTTCATACAAATAAGATGGATCTGTAAAATGGATGTGCATGTAAAACTCAATTCTGGAACAAGATCAAAGACCAGAAGTGGACAAGCATTTAGTGAATTAACTCATCTCCCTTATCTATTTCAAGTTCAGTTATCAATTTACCGTGACTTTACTATTAACTCATTTATTTGGAAAGCAGTTATATCTCCTGTATTTACCAAGGATTCACTCTATACTTGTGCTTATCTGACTTTGTTAAATATTTGTCATGTCTCCTCTTGATCGTCTGAACTCTGTGACCTATATTCTAATTACCCTAGACATTAGTCTTTTAAACTTATTGAAACAGCAGGATAAGAGGGAACCATAGGGGAGCTCCAGACGAAGGTAACACTTCTGCCAAATTAACTTGACACAAGTAACAACTAACTGGGATAAAAGGAGTTGAAACAGTGGGTATGACTGGGCTGTTAAATATAACCAATGGCTTAGACAGGTAGAAGTTAAGACAAGCACAAAACAACTACTCATTAGTTAAGGTTCCAACGATACAGTAAACAGGTCACCCTATATATGCAGTGCCAGTGTAAATTACACAATATGCCCTTCACTGTCCCAACTGAAAACTATAGAGGCTCAGAGGAAAGGCAAGACGGACATTTAATCAGAATGCCTCTGGTACCATTAGTATCAGAACACCTACACTGGCTGCTAAAGAGGGGGACGCAGTGCTTATGGTAATGCCCCGAGTGTGATGTAGGTTCTTGAATCAACTTAATTGAAAACTAGTGACAAACAGATGTGTCAGCAAAATATAGAAACAAGCACATGCAAGGTAAATGCCTAAGGCAGTCATTAGACATGCTAAAGCAACTATGGAAACCTAGCTGTACTTACATCAAGTTCCTTGTCAAAGACATCCAGGCTCAGCCCAAGATCTTTCATGGGAACCAGCATGTCCTGAATGACCTGGTATTTCTCATACATATTCTTAATAGTCTCCCCTTGAGTCAACTTCAACAGAGAGATCTTGGGAGGAACCATCCAGCCAAACAGAGCTCGGAACACTGGGTTATTGCCAAATGGGATGATATCCTGTAGAAAGAACATCTAATATTTATACCACATTTTCATGAAAAATGAAGTACTGTTTTCACACATTTGGAGTCCAAAGTTAGTTTGCAAAGACTGGTGACGGAATTTGCCATCTTGAACATCTCTAGGATTTTTCGTTTGCTGGAAAACTGTAGTAATTTTGCTGCATCAAGTTTTGTGATACCCAGGTGCAAATCATGTAAAAGATTAACTGGCTTTTGGCATATAAACTTCACACAAAATAAGGAATGTTAAATCACTTTTAAAGATGATTGCACATCAGTGGAGAGCTGATGACATTCTGGTCAGAGCTTTCCAGACTACACAGATATACATATAAACTGTAACAGCAGAGAGATAGAGAGATGAGATGAATGTGATGATGAATGTATAGAACACTCACCTCCAACATCCAGAAAATGCTGCGGGTGTGTCTGTGGTAGTAATGCCTCAGAGGGATATACTCCACACCAGAACCTGTCTTGAGGAAGCCCTCCACGTGTTTGTAAAACCATGGCTTCCAGTAGTTGCCAATGGGGTTGATCTGATGTGATGAAACCAGCAAGTTAACATACAGCTCTGAACATAAACGATATGTAATAATAATCCATTAACAAACTCTGGCTTAACATTTCTCATAAATACATCCCTATTAACTTTGTTTCTTTGATATTTCATGCAGTTATTTGTGGATGAAATCTCATAGGAATTATTGTAAATGTTACACATGCATAAAAAAAAGAACAGATCTATCTAGCAAAAAACTAAGCACTGAGGAAGACTATCTATTAAAACAAACAAAAATGAGGGGGAAAAGTATTCTGATCAGGTAAAGACATGAAGGTCCAAAAAAGATCACCATTTAGAATAATCGGAGAAGACAGTGACCATAAAATAAATGGATTCAACTTGGATAAGTTTCTAAACACGTTTATACTCTCACAAAGGGCTGTTTGCTCAGCACCTCGACAACATGGACAGACTAGGTAACTAGTGTTGATTACCACACAGTGCCAACTGGTATTTTGGTCAGCTCAACATCAACGATGATTATTGGGTAGCCAGTGTACACATGGACGGGATAGGTCTTTAATGAAGACAAATAACTAACCAATGAACACGCCCTCTCTGGAGTATGTTGAACACCCTGGGAATCCAGCTCAACAGTCCACAGAATTCCTGGTGAATGACCTTTTAAAACCACTCTATTGACTGCTTTGCCAAACTCTTCTCACGCTATTCAAACAATGCCACCGGTCTTTCGGTGACTATGCGTTCAAACTAATAATAAGCAGTCTTGCCACAGGTCTTGAGCTCCCATAAGGGTTGAATAAATCAGGCTGACTTAACAAAATACTGGCTTCAATGACTCGACCTTCCAAGGCAAAGGAATGGCTTCCACTGATGAGTCTGTACTCTAAATTCCATGTGGAGGTACAGGACACTTAAAACACTAACAATAGACTCCTGCAGCATACACTAACAATAGACTCCTCCAGCAAACACTAACAATAGACTCCTGCAGCATACACTAACAATAGACTCCTCCAGCAAACACTAACAACAGACTCCTCCAGCAAACACTAACAATAGACTCCTCCAGCAAACACTAACAATAGACTCCTGCAGCATACACTAACAATAGACTCCTGCAGCATACACTAACAATAGACTCCTGCAGCATACACTAACAATAGACTCCTGCAGCATTCACTAACAATAGACTCCTGCAGCATACACTAACAATAGACTCCTGCAGCATTCACTAACAATAGACTCCTGCAGCATACACTAACAATAGACTCCTGCAGCATACACTAACAATAGACTCCTGCAGCAAACACTAACAACAGACTCCTGCAGCATACACTAACAATAGACTCCTGCAGCATTCACTAACAATAGACTCCTGCAGCATACACTAACAATAGACTCCTGCAGCATACACTAACAATAGACTCCTGCAGCATACACTAACAATAGACTCCTGCAGCATACACTAACAATAGACTCCTGCAGCATACACTAACAAAAGACTCCTGCAGCATTCACTAACAATAGACTCCTGCAGCATACACTAACAATAGACTCCTGCAGCATACACTAACAATAGACTCCTGCAGCATTCACTAACAATAGACTCCTGCAGCATTCACTAACAATAGACTCCTGCAGCATACACTAACAATAGACTCCTGCAGCATACACTAACAATAGACTCCTGCAGCAAACACTAACAACAGACTCCTGCAGCATTCACTAACAATAGACTCCTGCAGCATACACTAACAATAGACTCCTGCAGCATACACTAACAATAGACTCCTGCAGCATACACTAACAATAGACTCCTGCAGCATACACTAACAATAGACTCCTGCAGCATACACTAACAATAGACTCCTGCAGCATACACTAACAATAGACTCCTGCAGCATACACTAACAATAGACTCCTGCAGCATACACTAACAACAGACTCCTGCAGCATACACTAACAATAGACTCCTGCAGCATACACTAACAATAGACTCCTGCAGCATACACTAACAATAGACTCCTGCAGCATACACTAACAATAGACTCCTGCAGCATACACTAACAATAGACTCCTGCAGCATACACTAACAATAGACTCCTGCAGCAAACACTAACAATAGACTCCTGCAGCAAACACTAACAATAGACTCCTGCAGCAAACACTAACAACAGACTCCTGCAGCAAACACTAACAACAGACTCCTGCAGCAAACACTAACAATAGACTCCTGCAGCAAACACTAACAATAGACTCCTGCAGCAAACACTAACAACAGATTCCTGCAGCAAACACTAACAACAGACTCCTGCAGCAAACACTAACAATAGACTCCTGCAGCATTCACTAACAATAGACTCCTGCAGCAAACACTAACAATAGACTCCTGCAGCAAACACTAACAATAGACTCCTGCAGCAAACACTAACAATAGACTCCTGCAGCATACACTAACAATAGACTCCTGCAGCAAACACTAACAATAGACTCCTGCAGCATACACTAACAATAGACTCCTGCAGCATACACTAACAATAGACTCCTGCAGCAAACACTAACAATAGACTCCTGCAGCAAACACTAACAATAGACTCCTGCAGCAAACACTAACAACAGACTCCTGCAGCAAACACTAACAATAGACTCCTGCAGCATTCACTAACAATAGACTCCTGCAGCAAACACTAACAATAGACTCCTGCAGCATACACTAACAACAGACTCCTGCAGCAAACACTAACAATTGACTCCTGCAGCAAACACTAACAATTGACTCCTGCAGCATACACTAACAATAGACTCCTGCAGCAAACACTAACAATAGACTCCTGCAGCAAACACTAACAACAGACTCCTGCAGCAAACACTAACAATAGACTCCTGCAGCATACACTAACAATAGACTCCTGCAGCAAACACTAACAATAGACTCCTGCAGCAAACACTAACAATAGACTCCTGCAGCAAACACTAACAACAGACTCCTGCAGCATACACTAACAATAGACTCCTGCAGCAAACACTAACAATAGACTCCTGCAGCATACACTAACAATAGACTCCTGCAGCAAACACTAACAATAGACTCCTGCAGCAAACACTAACAATAGACTCCTGCAGCATACACTAACAATAGACTCCTGCAGCATACACTAACAATAGACTCCTGCAGCATACACTAACAATAGACTCCTGCAGCATACACTAACAATAGACTCCTGCAGCAAACACTAACAACAGACTCCTGCAGCAAACACTAACAACAGACTCCTGCAGCATACACTAACAATAGACTCCTGCAGCAAACACTAACAATAGACTCCTGCAGCAAACACTAACAATAGACTCCTGCAGCAAACACTAACAATAGACTCCTGCAGCAAACACTAACAATAGACTCCTGCAGCAAACACTAACAATAGACTCCTGCAGCAAACACTAACAATAGACTCCTGCAGCATACACTAACAATAGACTCCTGCAGCATACACTAACAATAGACTCCTGCAGCATACACTAACAATAGACTCCTGCAGCAAACACTAACAACAGACTCCTGCAGCAAACACTAACAACAGACTCCTGCAGCATACACTAACAATAGACTCCTGCAGCAAACACTAACAATAGACTCCTGCAGCAAACACTAACAATAGACTCCTGCAGCAAACACTAACAACAGACTCCTGCAGCAAACACTAACAATTGACTCCTGCAGCAAACACTAACAATTGACTCCTGCAGCATACACTAACAATAGACTCCTGCAGCAAACACTAACAATAGACTCCTGCAGCATACACTAACAATAGACTCCTGCAGCAAACACTAACAATAGACTCCTGCAGCATTCACTAACAATAGACTCCTGCAGCATACACTAACAATTGACTCCTGCAGCATACACTAACAATTGACTCCTGCAGCATACACTAACAATAGACTCCTGCAGCATACACTAACAATAGACTCCTGCAGCAAACACTAACAACAGACTCCTGCAGCATACACTAACAATTGACTCCTGCAGCATACACTAACAATAGACTCCTGCAGCATACACTAACAATAGACTCCTGCAGCATACACTAACAATTGACTCCTGCAGCATACACTAACAATTGACTCCTGCAGCATACACTAACAATTGACTCCTGCAGCATACACTAACAATAGACTCCTGCAGCATACACTAACAATAGACTCCTGCAGCATACACTAACAATTGACTCCTGCAGCATACACTAACAATAGACTCCTGCAGCATACACTAACAATTGACTCCTGCAGCATACACTAACAATTGACTCCTGCAGCATACACTAACAATTGACTCCTGCAGCATACACTAACAATAGACTCCTGCAGCAAACACTAACAACAGACTCCTGCAGCATATGCTCAAGAAGCTGCTACTGGCGAGTTTGCCAAACTGTGCAGATTCACTTATCGTGATGACACAGTAACCGTCTTCTGACATCTCTAGCTAAGAAGCTCTATCCCCTGAGGAAATCCAGGCATATACACAAACTGTAGAATCCAGACTTCCATCTGCCTGGTTGCAACAACTCTAGGTATCCATCTGATGCCTCACATCACGAGCATCAACACTGGTCAACTCCAGTCCCTATTGAAATCTTCATGGACCATGTAGACACACATCGCCAGTTCAGCTAGTGTGATACATGTGTACTTACAGAGCTTGCATACAAGGCTGACCTTACTAAACACTGGTTAATAACTGCACCACCACATGCTGACAATAACCCATGGTTGATAACAACGTCTAACTTTATTTAGTGAATAAAACAGTTACCAGCAGCCATAACAACCGACGTATATGCCATTTTTGTAGTATGCCAAACACACAGGAATCCAACTCAACTGTTACTACTGTCTGTATGCACCACTTTTTAGGGTGGTGTAGACAGAGGGTTGTGAGCCTGAGGATTTAGGGCCATATGGCTAGTGCTGTCACCTAGGACTGTACAGGTTAGGAATTCAACTCAACGGACCAAATAATTCCTGGTGAACAGCTTCTCGACTGCCTCACTCTGCAACATAGGGAGGACTGCCACACTCCCATTTTGAACTTTTAAGCGTAGGAAGGCTTGGAAAGGGACCCCCATTATTGTATGAAAGAGAGCCAACACATCTAGGCCATCTTTTTTGTTTTCTAATGTAGGGATGAGATTGACAACATCCTAATTAAGCCAGGTCCACAACTCTCCAACAAAACTAATACACCACCAAAAGTAATCTATGCTAGTGCAATCAGTCTGGTTTATTATAGATGCACACAATAATAAGATACTAAGTACACACAATGGATGTCTCCAAAGGCGACACCTGGTCTCTGCACATTTCCCAATTCCCTGCATTAAGCAAAATAAATGGCTGTGCATTCTTAGGCACTCTTGTGTGCCTCTGGAATCACATATAGCCTCAGCGTAACAGCCGATGAAGCCACTTTGCATTCCATAGATTATGCCCCAGCATCCGTGCACCATGTCAACAAGCGGCCAACAAAATCCACCAACTTGCTGTCCTCCCCACTGTGTCTGCCCTCAGTTTCAGCATTCACAACTCTAATACACCAATTCAACTAAAGTAGACATGCGCTCCAAACTTCCTACTTCCTTCTATGAGTGCCCATCAATACACTGTCTGTTTATTATTAAAAAAAAAAAAAAAAAAGAACAGGCATCCATGTACTCCAATGGACTAGAACAATTCTCGCATGTCCATCCTTTTTCACTCAATGAGAACAACTGTAGCCAGCTTCACCTGGGTCTCCAAGCAACCTCTGTAGTAGCACCATTCTCTCGGGGTCCACCAAGCAAAACTTGCCCCAAAACTTTATGCGGCCCTATTGTTCACACGCATCTCGATCAACCATCTCAAGAATACTGAAATGCATTCGCTCACACTTTTGACCTCTGGCAAACTTTTTACTATTGCGGCTTAGCAAACATCACTTTTGCCATTATGTGTCGTTGGGAGGAACAGTTTGCGATCAATTGTTCGATATGTAGCATTGACTTTCGTAATTCTATGTGGATGTCACAGCTTTTAAAATCAGCAATCCATATTTTCACTGGGTGCTACCAAACAGGGGAAATCCACAGGTCATGGGACAGTCTAACATTTCAGGGGGTGGTAAACAGGCTGCATGCGGTTGTGGGAAAATGGGTTCATGCAGTCGTGGAACCTACGCTGCACCTTTTCGTGGGACGTAGGTGTGGGTTGGGATTAGGGCTAGTTCTAGATGTTTTGGGGTAATTAAAACGTTGGGAAACCCAGTCTTACCAATCTTTAAAATGTTGGACTGTCCTGTGACGTCATCTGGGGTAGGATATTAATAAAGCACCTATCATTGGGCATCCTCTTGCTGTCCCATCAGTCTTATATAAAAATAAACAGTTGCATCGTGGATGATCAAACCGAGCAAGAACAACACTTACCTTGCCAGGCTCAGCTTCATCAGTCATGTTTCCAGTCATAAACACTGACTGAGACTTTGAATACACCAGCGCCTCCACAAACTGGTTACTGTCATAAGTCTTGCTGTCCTCCATCAACCTGGTCAGCTGGTCCTGGCTGTACACAGGATAGTACTCCACCCTGACATACTTTTTGGCCGGTATAATTTGAATTTCTGCCGACACCAAGAAGCCAAGGGTACCATGTGACCAGGGAACAGCGTAGAATAAGTCAGGGTTCTCGTCCTGCAGGGATTACCAAACTAAAGATTAGATACAACCTTTTAGTGTGGGTTCCAGGGTCCCAGTTTTGGTGGTGGTGGTGGGGGGGGGGGGGGGAAGGGGCGTAGAAGGCAATAAATGAGGAGTTAACTGAAATCAAATGGGTTTGGCTGACAGACAAAACAGTCTAACTGTAAACCACAACACAATCACACTCTTAAGGGCAGGCGCTAAAGAAAAAGACGCAACATGTGTTTCGACTCAACAAAATCATTCTGACTATAAAAAACATATGGGAAAAATAATAAAATTAGGAGAAGAAGAAAGGGTGTACATGGGTTGAGCTTCATGCAATGGCAATGAATAGGATAACTTGTCACAGGTTTGTTGAGGGCATCAGTTTCAATAGGGTAAGAAAGAAAAAAAAAAGAGGAAGAAAACCATACATCAATTTTTTTTTTCAATTGTTCACTATTGAATATAAAAAGTGGATAGCCAAGCTATGCTCTCATATACCTGGGTTTGAACCCATTGTGAGTAATGAAAATATTTTCTGTCAAGGGCAACCAAAAAAAAAAAAAAACGTAGCGGCCATACGGCCCTTAATCCTCACGCTTAAGACCCCATCACCCTAAAACGTTCACACAAGAATCAACAACAGAATGACTTTTAGATATAACAAAGTTTCTTCTTCTGAGTTGGCCCTTGAAAAGGCACACTGTGTTGTGGTTTACAGCCAGACTGTGTACTGTGCTGTGAGCACCAACAGATTTCTCTCATTAGTCATCTTTTATGTCAAGCATACCAGGAGACAGCGGGGAAATCCCCCCCCCCAAGAGCACTGAACCCATATACATTTTTGAAAACACTGCAACAAACATATCTATCCATGTTATAATACAAAATTATGAACCCTGGTTAACTGCCCTTATCTTCTTATCTACCATACCTTCTTACAGATAACATGTTTGCTATGTCTGCTGTGACAAAATGTATCACTACTTGAAGAGTTCAACTAATCCGTCAAGTGTTATCAACAAGAGCAGTTCTACATGAACACCCACTGATAACAACAGCCCACGCTTCTTGCAAGCCTGTCACAAACCCAAGCCGCAGATGTCTGCCCACATTTCTAGATCAGCCGCAGATGTCTGCACAGATTTCCAGCTGAGCCATAAACAGCAGGCTTCCCCACAGATTATTCTAGGTCTTAGTAGGAGACTAATTATAAGTGTTTCTTTCAAAGTTACAGTGCATCTGCCTGAGAAGTAAGGAACCAACATTCTGCATACAAATAAGCCACAGTTGCTCACAAATCTCAAGACAAAAGTCCAGGAATAGAAGAACAATCATAACTTTCTGAAGTTTACAGCCGGTAAATGCTAAGAAGAAGAATATTTCCCAGAAAGTTGTTAACTCTAACCCACTCTGATGCAGCTGTTTAATCTTTCTATTGCAGTTACTATTCTGAACAAAGAAGGCATAAACATAAGACTGCAACATTTATTGCTAGGCTGAATCCTTATAACTGTAATATGGTGTGGATTTCCTGTATTCTTATAAGATGATTTTTTTTAATTGATTTGTTTTTTAATAAGTGTTATGCTTTTTTAATAGGCTGAAATATTAATTTCTAGTGATTTAAAACAAAATCTGGTCCAGACCTGAATTTGTCACTGCTGGTTATTCTCACGTCTGTCTCCATGTTCAGCGGCTGTAAACTCCAGAAGAAAGTCCTGGTTGTTACTTCTGTTTCAGTCTACATAATGTTTTGGGCTGTGAATGGGGATTTACCATAGTGGAAACATATTACAGTACCACCAAGGCATCTTGTAGTAAAAGCAGCTGTCCTAACTATCTGTGCTTGTCACTTTTTAGGGCAGTGTAAGAAGGGAGCCTGTAGCCTGAGGATTTAGGGTCATGTAGCTAGTCCATTTGCTACAAACTGAAGGTTAAGATTTTTATTTTTATCCCAGGCATACACAAATGTCCAGTCTTTTTAGTGAGGATTCCACAGCTGAGGAAATGGAGATAAGGACAATGAGATTAAACAGCCTCACCTTTGAGCACTTGACTACACTGCCGTCTGCTGTTACAAGCTCGTAACTGATACAACAGTGCTGGAACAGGCCATAAAGATGTGAAGATGTCTCAATGCCAACACCCATGATCAGGCCACCTGAGTTATATAGAAGAACTTAACTTGCATGATATACCCCAGGCCTTTCTTATAATTTCTTCTGCATTCTGCCTTAAAAGGGATGTTGGCACGCTGTGGTGTGTTTTAAAGCCAGGCTGCAATATCTGCACTTTTCGGCTCAATACATCCAATTTCAGTGAACTAATTTGTTACCTTTTACCGCACCTTGTTAGGTGGCGGTGGATTTATTCTGTGTTTTCTATTTTTGTTATCCCAAAAATGGACCCTGTAACTCCAATTGGGATTCAATACTAGAAAATTACAGCACAAACTAGTCGACTATACTTATGGAGTGTGTGCAGGCTTCAAGTCCACACATTCACACAAAAGATTCACTGTGTGGGTTTGAGAGCCCCATTTTGAGTAAATTAAAACAAAGAAGTAAACCCATTGCTCCCTCCCCTTCCCCAGAGCATTGTGAAAGGCGATTAATTAGGGATTTGCTCCCCATAAAAAACTGATCAGTTGAGCTGAAAGGCCAGATATCGCAGCCTAGCTATAAACCACAAAACAAAATGCCAACCGCCCTTTTAAGGGCTAATAAATACAACAACAAAAATAGAAGCTGGGTGTTGATCTTAAATACTGTGATTCTGAGATATGTCGCTAGAGCAAACAGGAAAATCATTAAATAACACTATACTCTGATTAATGAATACCCCACAGTATGTAAGGAAGTCTCCTACCAGGCCTAGATAAGGATGTAAATCTACGCGGCAAAGTGGCCAAGCCATTTGCCTCGGGTTAATTCCATGGCTGCGCCCTTCAGTTCCCGAGTGCAAATGTTACGGAGATCCCTGAGGATCATCACTGGAGCTATGGAGTTACTGCTCTGTGCGATACTCTCAGTGGATAGCTAGCCAATCTGCTGAATTCTGGTGCAATGAAGCTGATCCTCTCGACTTTAACCTTTAACCTTTTAAGGATGCAAATTAATGGTTCCAAAACTGACATCTGTGAAAACAGGGCATTCCCGTGCCTGCACTGTCTTCATCTTCACTTAGTAAAGAACCTTCTGCATCAGTCATATGGTTCTAAACCTGTATTTGTTGTAGACAAAGTTGCATTTGTTGGGTGATGTGATAAACATCCCACCAGTTGCCTTTACTTCCCAGGACATCTGTACCCAACGTGGATACAAACCCAAGATCTTCAGGTGAGCAAGCATCAAGCCACAGCCCCACTGTGGCTCCCCCCCCCCCCCCACCACCAACGAAGAGTTCTCATAATCATTTTACTGGTGGCACCTTGACCGATAGCCACCTCTCTTGTATGCACTGACTAATGTCCACAACCTTGCCTTAATTTCAATAGTGGTATCAAGATGTGACTGCTCAGTAAGCAATGGCAAACTACTAGCAGGAAATTGCCTAGTGAAATCATAAACAGCCAAAAAATGCTGGGGTTAGTTCTGCAACACCCTGTAAAGCAGGCATGTCAAACTGAGGGTAATCCTTTGTGTGGGGCGCCAGATTAACATGCCTGCTGAAAGGACATGCAACTAACATTCTTTTTTCCCCCGTCCTCCCAGTAGAACCATTCTCTTTGGGTATAGATGTTCTGTCTGTTGTGCTGATCCATTCTCTTTGGGTATGGATGGTCTGTCTGATCTGCTGCTCCCTTCTCTTTGGGTATGGATGTTCTGTCTGTTCTGCTGATCCATTCTCTTTGGGTATGGATGTTCTGTCTGATCTGCTGCTCCATTCTCTTTGGGCATGGATGTTCTGTCTGTTCTGCTGATCCATTCTCTTTGGCTATGGATGTTCTGTCTGATCTGCTGCTCCCTTCTCTTTGGGTATGGATGTTCTGTCTGTTCTGCTGATCCATTCTCTTTGGCTATGGATGTTCTGTCTGATCTGCTGCTCCCTTCTCTTTGGGTATGGATGTTCTGCCTGTTCTGCTGCTCCCTTCTCTTTGGGTATGGATGTTCTGTCTGTTCTGCTGATCCCTTCTCTTTGGCTATGGATGTTCTGTCTGATCTGCTGCTCCCTTCTCTTTGGGTATGGATGTTCTGTCTGATCTGCTGCTCCCTTCTCTTTGGGTATGGATGTTCTGCCTGTTCTGCTGCTCCTTTCTCTTTGGGTATGGATGTTCTGTCTGTTCTGCTGCATGCTCTGTTGCTCCATTCTCTTTAGGTACGCATGCTCTGTTGCTCCATTCTCTTTAGGTACGCATGCTCTGTTGCTCCATTCTCTTTAGGTACGCATGCTCTGTTGCTCCATTCTCTTTAGGTACGCATGCTCTGTTGCTCCATTCTCTTTAGGTACGCATGCTCTGTTGCTCCATTCTCTTTAGGTACGCATGCTCTGTTGCTCCATTCTCTTTAGGTACGCATGCTCTGTTGCTCCATTCTCTTTAGGTACGCATGCTCTGTTGCTCCATTCTCTTTAGGTACGCATGCTCTGTTGCTCCATTCTCTTTAGGTACGCATGCTCTGTTGCTCCATTCTCTTTAGGTACGCATGCTCTGTTGCTCCATTCTCTTTAGGTACGCATGTTCTGTTGCTCCATTCTCTTTAGGTACGCATGCTCTGTTGCTCCATTCTCTTTAGGTACGCATGCTCTGTTGCTCCATTCTCTTTAGGTACGCATGCTCTGTTGCTCCATTCTCTTTAGGTACGCATGCTCTGTTGCTCCCTTCTCTTTAGGTACGCATGCTCTGTTGCTCCATTCTCTTTAGGTACGCATGCTCTGTTGCTCCATTCTCTTTAGGTACGCATGCTCTGTTGCTCCATTCTCTTTAGGTACGCATGCTCTGTTGCTCCATTCTCTTTAGGTACGCATGCTCTGTTGCTCCATTCTCTTTAGGTACGCATGCTCTGTTGCTCCATTCTCTTTAGGTACGCATGCTCTGTTGCTCCATTCTCTTTAGGTACGCATGCTCTGTTGCTCCATTCTCTTTAGGTACGCATGCTCTGTTGCTCCATTCTCTTTAGGTACGCATGCTCTGTTGCTCCATTCTCTTTAGGTACGCATGCTCTGTTGCTCCATTCTCTTTAGGTACGCATGCTCTGTTGCTCCATTCTCTTTAGGTACGCATGCTCTGTTGCTCCATTCTCTTTAGGTACGCATGCTCTGTTCTGCTGCTCCAGGCAGCTGATTATAGACAGCTCTCATCGGTTCCCCACATAAGGTTGCATAAGCAGTGAAAATTTATAATGTCAAAGAAACACAGCTGAAAAACAGATGACAAGAATGCACACAGGAAGTCATGAAGATGTGAAGGCCATTATCTAGAAAACTCACCAACTGTGAGATCATCAAGTTCAGGCAGCACAGGCAGAGTCCAGCCCAGGGGGTTCAAGCAAGCTGTCACCTGGCCCATTGTAGCCAGTGGCTCCACTCTGACAATCTGGAGAGAAGCTGTTTGTTAACTGGTGTTTTAGGACAACTATGAGATTACACTCTGGAGAGAAGCTGTTTGTTAACTGGTGTTTTGGGACAGCTATGAGATCACAATCTGGAGAGAAGCTGTTTGTTAGCTGGTGTTTTGGGACAACTATGAGATCACACTCTAGAGAGAAGCTGTTTGTTAACTAGTGTTTTGGGACAACTAGGAGATTACAAGCTGGCAAGAAGCTGTTTGTTAACTGGTGTTTTGGGACAACTATGAGATCACTCTGGAGAGAAGCTGTTTGTTAACTTGTGTTTTGGGACAACTATGAGATTACACTCTGGAGAGAAGCTGTTTGTTAACTGGTGTTTTGGAACAACTAGGAGATTACAAGCTGGAGAGAAGCTGTTTGCTAACTGGTGTTTTGGGACAACTAGGAGATTACAAGCTGGCGAGAAGCTGTTTGTAACTGGTGTTTTGGGACAACTAGGAGATTACACTCTGGAGAGAAGCTGTTTGTTAACTGGTGTTTTGGAACAACTAGGAGATTACAATCTGGAGAGAAGCTGTTTGTTAGCTGGTGTTTTGGGATAACTATGAGATTACAATTTGGAACTCAAGTTTTACTTTCATAGAATATTTTGTTGCACTCCAACTCCATTATTGTTTAGATGTTGAGGTATTATAATATAAAATTATGTTATCAAAATAGACTTCACTGCACATTGGACATTCTTATGCATGCTCAGTCCCCTGATGCAGCAGTTACTTCAAAGTACCTCTACTTTTTGTCCCATAAGAAGTTGGTTATAGTATTTCCTGTCTTGACCTCAAAGATGGCACAGACGTGCTTCATTACCAGATTCAATAGCTGAGTGCAGAGTCTTGCTAAGTCCAGAGTCAAAGTTCACCTACAGACACAAACTATAATTCAGAAAGAAAAAGACAGACAACATACACTTTTCTAAAAGTAGTAAGTTAAGACATACCTCTCTTTTTGTGTCAACCTCCAAAATGTCAATGAGATTAATTTCTATGTTGTGAAGGCTGTTCTTGTACAGGCCTCTACGAAAACTCATGGTGGCCCAACCTGGACGGGCAGTGCACATTCGATTTGTTCGACCTCTTTCATTCCATGCTCGAACCTGGGGTATACAATATAAAAGGAGATTTTGTGTTAACTTGCTTCATTTGGCAATCATTTCAGTTTTTAAAAAAAAATACTGCTAATGAGCCAGTGCCCACTTACATCCGGGTAAAAGTGACAAACTGTGTTTTAATACTAATTAACTCTTTACGGACATTTAGCCAGTATACTGGAGATTGTCTATCCCTTACAGACGAATCGCCAGTTTACTCGATCATAATAGGGAAAACGAACTTTTATGAACCCGTTTTTGAACAATTGGGATTAACAACAGGAAGTCCTTGCTTTAACGACGCTCATCGTGGTCCGTGCACTATTTTCTGATTTGTTTTAGATTTATTCTGTGCGATATAATTTTGTTGTGTAATTTTTCTGAAATGGCAGCTTTCAACCCTTTAACATCCCCCGCATATAGAGCTCAAAGAATGACAAAAGATGCAGGCTTTAGATCTTATGCAGTGGTTGTTAGATGAAGAAGATAATTCTAGTAGTGATGATGATTTAGATTCAGAATTATCTGACAATGATGTAGATGATGACGATCGAGAATATCAGCCATCTGCTGCAAAACACTCCAGACTAAATGGTAAAGGTAAGGGAAAGCAGAATAATAACAAAGCCTACAGAACTGCCCATACTGCTGCTGTCATTGATGAATCTGAGCCAGATAGTGACAACAAGAGTGTTGACCTTATAAATAATAATAATGCCCGTGCAGCATCTGTTGCTGACGTTATGGCTTGGGATGAAGCTGAAGAAAATGTTTCGATCGGATCGTCCCTGTTTCGATCAGCTGAGTCTGGAATTCGGGCACCATTGGATGAAAATTCAACACCACTGGATTGCTTATTCACACTGTTGACAGCTGATATCATTGACAGCCTTGTTGAAAACATAAATCTTTATGCAGTGGAAAAAATAAAGAAAAATGTACCACTGAGAAAAAGATCTACATTGTCTGAGTGGCAGCCAATGACTAGAGAATTTTTTTTTTTAGTTTCTCAGTGTAGTGATAGCAATGGGAATTACACCGAAACATGACATAGAAGATTACTGGTCTACAGCGAACCACAAATTCACACCATGGTTCAAGGTCATGTTTCCAAGAACTAAGTTCTTGCTTGTTTACCAGTCAATGCTGCATGCATCAGAACCCAACGCACAAGGCCAAGCAAAGATTGAGCCATTTGTGAATAATCTAGTAGCAAAGTTTCAGTCAGCATTTTACCCATATGAAAAGCTTTCTGTTGATGAGATGGTGACTGGTTTGAGGGCACGTTTCATGCTAAACAGTACAATGCAGCCAAGCCTCACAAGTATCATATAAAGACATGTGGTCTTTGTGATTCAATCACAGGCTATGTTTATAATCTGCTGATTTATTTTAGAGCAAAAACTGCCTACAATCCTGAGCTTGATCCAACATCAACTCATGCTGTAAAAGTATTTTCAACCGTACTGCAGGGCGTTGCAATTTACCATCATCTATTTGCAGATACATTTTATACATCACTCAAACTCATACAATTTCTTCTATCCAGGAAATTGAATTATACTGGCACGGTGAAAAAAACTGCAAAGGATTACCGCAGCAGCTAAAACAACAACCAACCGTCTTTGGAACTCCGAGATGGTTAGTTAATAATGAGCGGAATATCCTTTGCGTTTCCTGGAGGGATAAAAAATCTAAAAAACCTTGCATCCTACTGACCACAAATGGAGGTTCTACATTTGAGAAATGCCAGGAAGGGAGTTGAAAGGTTCAGAAACCTAGCCCCATTCACTCATAAAATATGAGTATGAATGGCTGTGATCGTGTGGATCAAATGGTCTCGTGTTATAGTAACCACAATTGCAAAACTAAGGAGTGGTGGAGAAAGGTTTTCACGTGGATTTTGAAGTGACACAGGTCAATGCTCACATCTTGTACATGTTATCCCATCATGATGCCCCCAAGCGAATGAGTCTCGCACATTTCAAAGACGAGCTCATACAGCAACTAACTGGTCATGAAGTTCCAACAGACATGATCATTGCTGTAACTCGCAGACCAGGCAGAAAGCCAGCCTTGCCTGACAGTCTTGTTGGGGCAGAACATTTAGTTGACTATGCTGGTGCACACAGGCAATGTGTACAGTGCAGCAAGAAAAGGATTCAAAAACGCAGCAGACTTTACTGTGTTGGATGTGCTGACAATCCTCATCTGTGTCCCAATGCATGTTTTAGGGAATATTACACCCAGTAAGGTGGTTTTATTCAGGATCAATATCATCATCATTGGGTCAGATAAATGAAGAATTGAGTCATCACTAGAATTGCCCTTATATATCATGTAAATATTTTTTTCCCGGCTGTTCTCAAATTTGACACAGACAAAAATGATGATAAAATCCAAAGTATTTGGAATAATTGTAAAGACCAGCTGATGCGTAACTGAAAAGAGAAGGCATGTGAATTCTTAGAAATGGATAGCTATATTGCTGAACAAGTAAAAGAACAAGGTAAGAACAACATTGCATGTCTAAAATATTTGTGTGTGTCTAACATCCTCTAATGTGGTGTCACTGTTGTATGTTATTGTTGCAATACTGATCTGTAAATATTTTGCGTGCATTCTGCATTCATTTCTCTTTAATTTGATTTATTATATGGCACTGTACAATCAATACTTTTTCGACAGGACGGTTTTAGCTTTGTCATATTGCTGTTACAAAATTCAATAAAATTTGACATGTCACACAGGAATTGTCATTAAATGCAAAGTATTCAGGTTAATTGTCTCAAATAAAGGGTAGCTGATACATAATTGAATAGAGAAGGCATGTGAATTCTTAAAAATGGGGAGAAGTGTTTTTGATCTAGCAAAAAGGTGAGGTAAACACAACATTTATCACCACACAAAAAATTCCTGCGTGTCTAACATCATTGAATATGGTGTGATTTTAATGTTATTGTTGCAATACTGATCCTTAGATAGTTTACATGCATTCTGCATTCATTTTTTTTTAAATTTGATGTATTACATGGTACTATACAGCCAGTACTTTTTCAACAGGACAGTTTTAGCTTTGTCATGTAACTGTAAAAAAATCCTGTTCAAAATTAATGCTGTCCAAATCCCAGAAAAAAATGTCACCCTGAAAGAGTTAAAGCAATTTTTTTTCTGCTGTGACTATTTTGTCTACTTTGGACTATTACAGTAACTAACAACAGCTTGCAAAAAGCTAATAAAAGCACACACTAACTCAGTTAAGATGTACGGTAATTAACAACTTGCAAAAAGCTAATGAAAGCACGCTAACTCAATTAAGATGTACGGTAATTAACAACTTGCAAAAAGCTAATGAAAGCACACTAACTCAATTAAGATGTACGGTAATTAACAACTTGCAAAAAGCTAATGAAAGCACACTAACTCAATTAAGATGTACGCTCAGTTAACATGACCACTATTCTGGTTGCAGCAGCGATGTATTAGTGTTAATATGTATGTATTAGTTCCCAGTTTGCATGCATATTTCATTTTCTTGGAGTTTGTATTAACAAGGTTTCAGGGTAAAATATATAGGCAGCTATGTAGGGAAATTCAGTTACGTCCCTTACTTGCCATAACCTCTCACCCCGCCCATCCACCTAACCTCTCTGAGCTACTTCCTATCCAGTATCATACACCTGCAATGACATATGTGATGCGTAATGGATATTATGTGACATGTGGCACCGTTTGGTGAAGTGATTCCTATGCATCTTTGTCTGTAATTGTATCACTGCCTGTTTGTCTCACATACCCATGGCAACGACTGGCTCAACGATTAGAATGCTCCACTCTCAATTGGGAGATCCAGGTTTCAATCATCGGTGAGCTCACAGATAATTTTTTCCCAACATCTTAACCTGTATAGTCTATGGTGTCCTACACCACCCTAAAAAGTAGTACATGGTACAAACAGGCAGCAAAGGCATTTTTATTTTTGCATGTGTAGGGGGAAAAAACAGACCCTTCACCCCCCCCCCCCCCCCACTCACCTCCCATCCCCCCAAAACAAGCATGTTACAAAACGACTAATTAGAGTGTTGTTTTTTTTAAACTGGATGTGTTGGCCTAAAGATTCAGTGATTGCAGTCCAGCTGTAAACCACACACAAGATGCGTACCATGTCCAGTATCAACTGACCCCAATTTTGAAACACACGGCTATCCCAACAGTCATAAAAAAGACAAATAAAAGCAATCTTCATACTAACCGTGTGCTATCAGTGTCAGACATGGACACTATCTACACTATCTAAAGAACACAAAAGAAAACTAACTACCTGTGAAATTAGATGTTTGAGAAACAGCATGAACAAAACTAGAAGAGATCATGTGAGGAACAAAGAAATTACAAGAATTATGGGAGCAACACCTAGAATTAAATTCACTGAAAAACAAAGACTGAAATAGTTTAGCCATTTAATGAAAATGAATCTAATGATGCCAGCAACAACACGAAAGTAGAAGCATCAAAAAGTAGGGGATGACCAAGAAGAATATGGATTGAAGGAGTCAGAAATATCTTGAGACTCCACAACATCACAGCATACCAGGCAGCTGAGCATGCCATAGCTCAGAAACCGACATCTGCTAACCTGCGTCGCCTAGCGGCATAAAGCAAACAAATCTACAAATGAAAGAGAAGACTGTTCCCCCAGGCTGTATTATAACATCTTACTGACTGCAAGATGCTCAACACAGCTAAAGTTATAAGATCAACTTCTTTGCCCTGGCTTTTATCCTACATGATTTGCTCTTTCCCTGTATAACAGCCACCTGCAAGAATGTCAAATAACACACAAATTCTATAGCTGCAATAGTGAACCCCAGCAACCTACATAAAAACTCTTCTTGTAAACCCAACCATGCATGCCAGGACACAGTCAAACAGAGACCCTCGTAAACAAAGGTAAAGAAAAGACTTATCATGCCACTGGCAGATTGCCACCCCCTCCCCAGTTTCTA